CAATGCTCTATTAATATCTTTTTTATTCAGCAAGTTTTTAGACCTTTGATAACATGTAACAGTTACTATAAAATTTAGTAACAGTACTTTACAAAAGTACGCATTCTTGAAATATAAAGTGTCAATTTTGATCAGCAGACTATAACCCTTAACAAAATAGGAATTTAGAAATCCATTTTGCCATGAAGATATAAAAAAAATCAAAGTCTCTTAACAAATACAGAAAAGAGATTATATGATATCCTAAATAATTCAAGTTAGTACTTAAAATTTTCACTGTAAAAAACACGAAGAGTGTAAAAAAAAATTTCCTGTATGTCAGTCCTTCCCTTCTTCAGGCAAGGTAGAGACTAAATAAAATAAACTCCAGATTAATTAGCATCCAGACTAAATGAAATAAAAAAGTAAACTTCTTTTGGATCTGATATTAGTGTGATTTAGACTGTGGAAAAAAGCCATGAAAAGAAACAAGTCCAAATGCTTTAATATGTGCCAGAGCAGTAATTGCCAATTTTTGGCAATCACAATGCAATGTTTTTTTCAAAGATTTCCTCTTTTCACTGAAAAGTCGTTCTAAAAAAGGAAAAAAAGATTAAATCATTTTCATAAATCTGCTCTCAAATCACTGAGAAGTCAACTGAAATGACCTAAGTTCTTTGGATCCATGCTCCAGTTGTACAAACAGATTTGCACAAGAGAATAGTTAACGAAGCTATTACTGAATTGGCTCCAAAGACTGATCTTTTTATTACTAAAAACGCAATATTTTTACTCCAATGTAACTTCTGCCATTTAAACAGGTGTGTGACAAACAAAGGGTGAAACAACCCAGCCATACTCAGAGCTAGTTGAAAAACAACATTTCTAGTCCACTGGAAATTCTAACAGTTGAAAAGTTTTAACTGTGAGTGGGAAGAAAGTTTAAATTCACCATGGAATATAAATTCTATCCCCTTCTCAAAATATTTTGAGAATCTGAATAATACAATAGAGTAAATAAAATACATAAATAAACTCAGATATTAAAAGAAAATGCATCCAGCAATGAAACTGAAATATTTTGCTATTACTAAAATAGAACAAGGAAGTCAGAATGATTTCGTTTCCTGATTTTTTATTCCTCGCCTGATGTTCGAGGGAAACCTTTCTGTTTCAACAAGACTTCATTTTTTTCAACAGAAAACTGTTCAGCTGAGAATTTTTTAGCCCACACTACCTACAAACGTGAATATGTAAAAGCGGGGACAGAGATACACGCGCCCACATAAGCCCTTATACGACACGCATGGTTTCCATCCATTTGGGCAATAGTAGCAGAAGCCTCTGAAACACAGCCTAGTCAGATTTAATGTTACAAATCATCAGCACTGAAAAGCAAAGTCATAATAATGTTTGCTGATCCTAGAATAAAAAATGGCAAAATAGTCATGTTTGTATCTACTTTTTCTTCAAAAGGGAAATATACAGACACAAATTTGGTGCATGGGGATTTTATGTTAAAAAGAAGTAAGCAGCTATGATGCCCGATGGATGTTTTTAAGAATGCTGTTTTGGCAAAAAAAAAAACGTGGTGCTTTTTTTTCACTTGTTCCCTGTAGCTTTACATAATCAGTGCAATTTTTTATTTTTGGTCATCAGAGCATCATATAAAACATAACTGGAAGGGACCTTGAGAGGTCATGTGGTCCAACCCTTACCCCAAGGCAGGATCTGCTCTTCCTGCATTAGTCCCGAAAGATGTCTACTCTGTTCTTAAAGACAGTCTGTGAAGGGCAAGGGGTCACTATCATTGTCTGTCTGCTCCAGGGCTCCAAAATCTTCTCCGTGAAGTTTTTCCAAATGTCTAATCTGAATCTTCCTTGTTGCAATTAAACAGATTACTTCTTCACCATGGCTACGGGGAGTAGATGAGTATCTTTGCTTCCGCAAAAGCCTCATACACTTGCAAATTCGGGGTGAGTGAAATTGCCTAGCTTTCTCCGTCATTATTTCAGCTTGGGAATTCTAACGAGACATTGGTTGGAGGTAATTGCTTAGGAAGTGCATAAACAGTAGCTGGGAAATAATACTAATACTTACTGAGGGGAATAGCCTGCCCTTTGGGTTCTCTGTAAGCCACCTGGACATAACCTAACTCAGACCAGAAAGTCTGCATGAAAGCAGATCAGGTGTGAAAGATGGCTATTTACAGACTCATGGTCATGACACACAATACCCTAAATTCTCCCTGATGAAAAATGATGAAAAATACTATCAACCTATGAAAAAGATGAAAAAGACCTATCAACCACTTAATAGTGAATATAATATCCACTTTTTTGCGATCATGCAGACACCATTAAGATACATTCAGGAGCCATCACAGTAGGCTACACAAAAACTATAGGCAACATGGTGAGAAATTACTGCCCTGATTAAAACTCTAGGTCCTCAATTAGCCAGTATGAATGCCAGCGTGATTTCAAGTGCCTGCTGTACCCAGCAGATGCCTTAATTTCAGTAAGGGTCTTCACTATCCCCCAAATTGACTGCCTCGCCCAACTCGCCTGCTGGAAACAAGTGGTTGTGGGTGTCACAGTTAAACACCAAATTTACTCTCTGTGGAAATGGATGACTATTCCCAGCCCATCCAAAGCTGTGCTTTGGTCTCTCAGCATACAGGACAAGGCCAACTCACAAGAAGGAGAACACGTGCCCTCCCGACCGAACAGTTTCTCACTCCTCTGCATATCCTCGCTGTGCTTCTGTGTCCTCTTGGCAGGACCTAAAAAGATACGCAGCGGATGCACCAATGCACAATTAAATATTACAGACGTGCGCTAATGCTTTGGGAACGTGCCTGCTACCAAAGCCCTGCCAATTTGCAGACTGTTGTAAGAATACCTTAAAACTGGCAGCAGCGCCATTCCACCTGCTGTCTTTGTTAGGGATCAACATTTCTAGCCCTGTCTCCACTTCAGGACACAATATGCAGTGAAGCAGCACCTGCTGCTCTCGTGTCTCTGACGGGCATATGTAAAGGCTGGAGAGTAGATACAGGTGTTCAGGGTCCTCCTGCACACTGCCTCATCCAAATGTACGCTGACAGAAATGCGAAGTTATCTCAGAACACAGATGTTTGGCTTTGCTGCCACTGCCTGACACCAGCACTTTATTTTCTTTATCATGTGTGTTGAATGGAAAGCTTTTTTTTAGGCCCTGACCTTGGCAGCAGTTGCTACTGCATTTCATCACAAAGATAGGAGAAAAGAAGAGGGAAAAAAAAAGAAAAAGAGGATCTTACTGGATTTTCGTGATGCCCTTTGTAATCCTGAATACTTCAGCTGAGGGCCCTCTAACACATTTACTTATCATACTAACTCTACGTCTTCCTCTCCTTCATAGACACATTTTTACCCAACCTTAGCAAGTCTTTCATGTGATTTAAAAACACATTTTTCCAGTTGACAGAGATGACTGGAAAAAATCTGTGTTAATTCTACATCGATCTTTTTTGAAATAAATTTTTTGTGTTTTAAGCTGCATTTTTGTTACGTTTTGTTTGGTGTATCAATTTATAGTTCAGCTTATTTGGAGATGAAGTTGCCTATAAAACCCGTATGTGATCTCTCAGGTTCTACTAGTTTATCTATAAATTGTCATGACCTTCCTTAGCCAATATAATTGAGGATTCTGTAAAACGTTTTGCTAATCTGGCTGTTATGAACAGGCATTGATGACTTAATGACTGTAACAGAGGGTAAAGCAATTCACTGAAAAGATTTTTTCTAAGGCTGGAAAAATTATAAGTCCTACTGTTCCATTAATATGTCTTGCTGTTTTGCTCACACCTGTACACCACACGTTGCTGGTGGTCTCTGTGTTTTCAATTTATTCCTACAGGAATGGCATTTCCCCACACAGCCCACATTTCTTTTCTCAGCTTCCTCTGCCCAGGCCCACCTGTGTGAAAGCCTGCCAAGTCATCCAGGAGATCCTTCCTGCATATTCGCCACTCAGTGAAACACAACCTTTTTTACAACTTCGAAAAAATACCTATCCAGCCTTATTTTTGGGTAGAGGACTATGCAGACATGCTTTTACTTAGAAAAAAAGAAAAAAAAAAATTAAGCAGTGAAGACAAGTTTCTTGTCAGTATTTGCTGCAGAACAATGTCAATCTAATGAGCAAATGGGATGAAAACTTAGTTTGTGATGCAAATCTACAAAATCGTGGTTGTCTGAGTTACAGCTTTCTTGACAAGAGTGAGATGTCTCGCTATTATTTCAATACATAAAAATGAAATTCAAAATAATGAATTTAAAATTATTCAGACCCAATGTTTAGAAGTAGTCAGACAGAGGAAGACAGCATGGGAAACAAAAAGTATCTTTCTGTGCTTTTTGTTATCAAGGGCCATCTTTACACTTATGTCCTGGTTTTGGCTGGGATAGGGTTAAATTTCTTCCTAGTGCTGTGTTTTGGATTTAGTATGAGGAGAATGTTGATAACACACTGATGTTTTCTGTTGTTGCTAAGTACCCTCCTAGTCCAAGGACAGCTCCCATGCCTACTGACTGAGCTGGGTACACAAGATGGGAGGGAACATAATCAGGACAGCCAGCCCAGCTGGCCAATGGGGTATTCCATACCACGTGACGTCATGCTCAGATGGTAGGCGCCATCCAGGAAGTACCGACCGCTACTTGGTTATCGGTCAGCGCAGGTGGTGAGCAATTGCATTGTGCATCACTCATTTTGTATATTTTATCATTATCATTATTATTTTTCCTTTTTCTGTTCTATTAAACTGTCTTTATCTCAACCCACAAGTTTTTCTCACTCTCACCGATTCTCTCCCTGTCCCGCTGGGGATGGGGGGAGTGAGCGAGTGGCTGCGTGGTATTTGGCTGCCTGCCAGGTTAAACCACGACAACTTATTTCATCAGTCTCTAGAAATATTTCAAATAGTACTGTATAACTCAATAAAACTATAAGGCATCTGACTTTCTTTTATGTACTTACTCAAAAAAAGTGGTCCATCCAGTCTCATCGCTTTTAGTTGCCAGAAGTCCACTGTTGCCATGGTAGGTAAATAAGACAAGCTCCTGCCCTTGTGCAGTCATGCTTTTCAAACATCCATTAGTGCCTATCGTCAACCAGATGACTTGGTTATCAGGAGAGACCACTCTCACTGGCATCCGGTTGGGATCCCGTCTGATACGAAGAGTGTTCCCATTGCTATCCGTTACCGCAGTAATATCATTATCATTACTGTAGCTAAAATTGTACAGATAGTCTCCAGTGACTAAACTCACAGTGTACTGGTGAGTACCATTGACATCAAAGATATAAAGCTCTTGGTCAGTTGGAGAAGCAACTTCATAAAAGTTCATTGAATTCAGTAAGGGTTTGTTCTTTGACACAGCCCGTATCCTAATATTTCCCAGATCAGCAATATACAGCGTGCCATCCGGAGACACAGCTAAGGAGGAAGGGGCATTAAGTTTGGCATCTTTAGCATAGCCATCTCCATTTTGGTAACAGTCACAGTTGACATCATTTTTGCAATCGCACTCTGAGGGTATTCCAGCAACTAATGAGATCTCTCCATCAGTTGTGACCTGTCTTATCCTATTAATCTTTTTTTCATCAGTTTCTGTAATGTAAAGTACCCCACTGTAGGACACGGCAATGGCAGTGGCTGACTCTAGCGTGGTCTGTACAGCGTGCTTTCCCACCGTGTACTCCACTCCAGGAACCTGGCAATGCATTGGCCTCCCCGCAGCAATGCGAACCTGACGGTTTTCAGTGATCTGCAAAACTACGTTGTTATCCAAAACATAAATGGAGTTATCCATTGGGTTGATAGCTAAATCCGTAGGCCATTCCAGACGAACCTTAACAAAGAGAAGTGTTTTGTTAAACAGTTAAACAGTGCAGATTAAATGAATTAATTCACCTTCAGTTTTAGACACTGCTCTAAGGATATTTTTCATGTGCTGTAACCAATCACAACAAAAAGACTTGTACGAAAATACATGCAGCAAACAAAAGCTTTTCAGGGAGGCAAGGGGAACAATGTTCAGACATCTATTTTACTGAAAAAAAGCCAGTTGCATTGGAACTATAATACAGGTTGAATTTCCCCTCCAATAAATGCTATACTTTTCTGTATCACAAATGCATAAATAAAAATAGAGACAGATATCAAAGTCTAAATACATACTTTAAGGACAGTACTCATCTTCTATTCTTGTAATAGCAAAAACAACTTACTACCTTCCAGATTACGAAACACCATAGTGTACTCCATTTTTAAACATACCACTAGTGATGTCCCTTCTTACCTACACAAGCTTCTTGAGACAAATAGAAACATATGGTCTTTTCCATACATCCCCTCATTCACTCTAGTAGGGTAAGGATGTTACTTATTCAGAAAACATCAACATGCCAAGATAGTTCTAGCAGATCTGCCGTTCTCCAGTATTTATTGCTGATAGTTTTGCTGTTCTAAACTAAACTGAACTTTATGGGCAGAAAAATTGAATACAGCAGCATTTATAGCTAAGAGAATACACTGCGATTCATGCCCTTGGAATAGGCTTCTTTCTCCCCAAATTCTGCTGTTAAATATCCATTACACACTCCACCCAGTTTTATTTTAAGGGACAAGAAAGCTGCATTTGCATTTCTGGCCCCAGCTCAGCTTTCCAAATTAGCAGCAGCTAAAATGTACCTGGCTGATGTGCATGCTGGTATCACAGGTTAGAGGTCGTGCTGAGGTCAGGTCGTTGGAGCCAAGCAAAGTGGATATTATTCCGTTCTGGTCCACTTTTCTGATCATGGTCCCATCAACAAAGTAGATTAACCCATTCTTGTCGATTGCTATTCCTTTAGTGAAGAGAATAAAAATTAGTTTCTTGTACTAGCAGTGAATGTATTAGCCATAACTAAGGGCGTAAGTGGTATATATCTAGTGGAAATTAAGGGCAGAAAATATGGTTGTAGGCAGTAGGTAGTAAAACAGCTTGTAAACATGTTTTGCGTAGCACACCAATATTCAGTATGAAATCTACTACTGTTGATCACATTTGCTGTTCATTTGCTGTTGTGTGCTGAGAAGGGCCTAGCTTTTAAGTTAACCTGAAAAATGGGATAAGTGGGACCAAAAGCAACACTGATTTTAAATTTTTCACCGTTGCCTGCCAAACACCTAATGTAAATCAGCATTTAAGAATGCTCAATAACCATGAAAGTAAATATTTTGTAAAAAAAAACCCCAGGTTTCCTGTAGCTCTCTTCCTCAGTGGTGTTTCCAGTTGGAAAAAAATACTCAAAACCACATTTTTGAGCCAACTACCGGGTTCAGTAATTAAACACAATTACACCCCTGGCTCTGAACTTTCGTATTATTTTGAAAGTTACGGAGGGATAACTCTTTTTACCTTTAGGGCTCATGAGAGTTGCCTCCACCGCCTTGCCTCCATCACCACACCTTGCCTCATCAAATGGTAGGCACTGCTCCCCTGTTCCTCCTATTACCTCAGCATTTTTGGTCAGGTCTTTCGCACCCGTGAGCGACTTGGGCCGATAAATCCTGCGTGTGTTTGTGTCGGAAACGTACAAATCTCCTGTCACGGGGTCAGTTGCAAGGTAGTATCTGTGAGCTGGGTTGTTGCTGTAAAATGGAATTATACATTGCCTATGCTGTAATTAATTGCACCTAACATTGGATCAAGAAGAAAAGACTTCAGTTCATACGCAGTGTGTAGTAAGGCATAAATAGTTAAAAACCAGGGTGATGCTCTAGGCATATGTAGCACAGGTCACGGGGCCCCAAAACCTTTCTTGGTTCTCATTTCTTGCCTGTGTTGCAGGCAGTCCAATCTAGACTACTCGTCCTTTTGGGACAGAAGATCCATTTTGTCCGTGATGCTCACAGGCCTGTTCTATGCTTTGTAATAAGAGACGGCTCCTGCCTCTGTAATAGGCCAAATCAAAATACTGGAGTCTAAAAACTCCCAGGCTTTCTGGGAACCTTGATCCAGTTCCAAACTTTGCAGCAGGACCCCGCCCTCTCTTACACTACCTGTTTTATTACGATTTCTATAAGGCTGCTGGGGTGCACGGTTTATATAATTCATAAACAGATAAGGCAGAGTTTGTATTATTAGTTCACAGGCAAGAGATAAGACATCCTTCATAAGTATTTGTTTAACCCACTGCTTTCAAAGACGTGATACGCATGATTTAACGCATTAGGAAATGTCATCTTTTCCACCAGAGCACTGAGTGGAGCTTTTCTGTTTTTCTTAACTCAGAGTCATATTTCAAATAACTGTACACATTGGCACAAAACCGCTAACTATGCCAACACAGTCTTTATTACAGTGAAAATATATATTGCTAACCATTTTCCCAGAAACATACATTTTGCCTCTCCACTGGTGCCACATAATTGCGAATTACTGTCTTTTCTCCCCTGCTGGTGAAAAAAACAGCCCTGGAGAGTACCTTTGGGGTTGATATATTATGATGTAGAAACTTAACCCACTGCAGCTGGGATTCCTGACCTAATTTATGGCACGAAGAGCTGAAATAAGGTCATGTAAATACAGGAGGTAATTTCAGATGCTCTCCTAATGGATTGAAGCAGAGTGTCAGAACAGTCAGTCCCACTTCTGATGTTTGCAAAAGCGCTGCTTAAACAGATCTACCAGTCTTGGTGATAGCCAAACATCTGTTCGCAGAATGCTGTACTTCACGTTTTGTAAATACATAACTGTGCTAATGTAACACATTTTTATGTATTGCCACTTGGAAAAAGCAACAAGAGACCAACAGGAACAACTTGTGAACAAATTATGTCTTTTAGCAGGGACAGATTTTTATAGCTATCCAATTACAAAAACACAGAAAAAATGTGTTGCATAAATAGGATTTTCTTTGGTTTTAAGACTTTTAACATGTTGGTTCAGAATGAAGAAACCAAGTGAAGCAGACTAATGAAATCAAATACACAGTGATTAGCACCTCTTAAAAAGCTCTGCTATAGAGCTGAGTGTTGTACAGCATGTCTGAAAACAATTAAATATAGGCTTACTTTAAATTTCTGTCTATTAGAAATCTATTATTGCCAACATTGTAAGGTATTTTCAAAACCTTAATTTACACAGAGATCATTTAATATGATCACTATGTAGTGTACAAATTATTTATACCTCTACAGACTGCAAATTAAATTATACCCATTTACACGATACTTTGGTCTTTAAGAAACTTTGCAGACACTTCAAATATAAACACATTGCAAAATGTGAAATGTGCAATTAAATTTTGTTTCATCATAGTTTAAAATAAAGTCCTTTCTTATACTACTGAAATCTAAATTAAAGTACTTCTCTTCAACTCATTTAACATTGCCTCAACCATATTTTTCAATTGTTGGAATAAAGAGTCATCAAATCAATAACTAAATAATTGATGCCTAACATTATTTCTTTCTAAAAAGAATTTTTAAAGCTGTTTTCTTCACGAATATGGAAACATTTCTATGTTTTAATGAATTCCAACAAAAATGACAAAACTCTTCTTATTTGGGATGAGTTCTCATAGTGAGTAGTGTATCTGCATAAAAAAAAAAAATCAGCTAATAATTTAAGGATATTTTCTCATTTTATAAAAAAACCCCGAAGTTTGGGAGTGCATAGGATATTACTATTGAATCAATATAAACTCTCCAATTTGCCATACATAGATGTCTAATGGCTCCTTTCTGAGATAATACAACAGGCTTCACTTCAGTGTTTCTTTTCAAGTGAAGGTTAAAAAGCTGAGGTAGCTTTAGCTGATAGAAAAACCTAATTAATTCACAGGAACAAGGCACAATTTGAGGAACGGAGTAACTGTCCAGTGAAACCCACTTTTGTTTTCTAGCCAGAAAACATCTATGCGCACTATGCAGATCTCAAAAATAGTATTGTGATAAGCAGCCAGCAGCTGGAAAGCTGCACAGAGTTTATTCTATTTCATTGTAGCTTGAAATAATATTAAGCTTCTGCCTTCCACCAATAACAACAAACACAAAGAAGTAAAATCCACAGTCAGTAACTTCTTGACTCATTCAGTATCGCCTAGTCGCTGTCAGTAGCTCTGAAAAACATGCAGTTACATAGCAACATGGGCTCCCATAAAGACAAATTACTACAAATTAACTTGTTCTGTCTATACCAAATAATAGTAACAGTGCTTCAAATTTGAAGTGCACACACACATGTGCAAATACACACATACACGCACAGAGCTGTAATGATCTATTTCCCACTGCATAATTTTATCTTGCTTAGACCGATCTTTTAATTCTTCAGCTGTCAGATCACCTGCATTACTCTTCATGCACAAATTTTTAAAAAATACTCTTCCTGCTTCAGTCCCCCCCCCCTCCCATTCACTCTGTGCCTTCTAAACCATATACCCTCAAAGCTGGTTTTAGGTTTTGCTAATCTTTTTTCTGGCTCTCTACAGACTTGGGATACCGCCATAGCCTACAAACGACCTCCCTGTCTTCAAAGTCCTTCTAAAGATTACTTCTTCCATGAATGCCTATCAGCATTAATCACCCACAGGCAGCAGTGTGTATAAAGACATCAGTTCAGCTTTGAGATTGAAAAAATGTTAGGTCACTGATACATGAGAGGATAAATTTGATCTGCTAATTTAGAGTACAGGCTCTTTGAGGTGGGAGGCACACCACTCCCTGTGCTGAAACACTGTGTTTATAGCTGAGGAAAGGTCAGTGCTTGAACGGATAATAGATCTGAACTAGTATTTAGCCTTGTTCATTAGTTTTACTTGGGGAATGCATATTTTAGTGCATTTTCTTAGTTTCGATACCTAGTAATTATATATTGCAAAGTGGTCTGTTGAGGGCAGTTTTCCAAACTGTACTTCAAATAGAAATCTCCTCAGCATTTCACAGGGTTCTGCAAGACTTCACACAGGCAAAAGAAGCTATTTGGCCTCACAGTGTGTCCTTAAGCTGGGGAACCCATGGCCACAGGATTTGGTGGATCCTAAAAGTTTACATGTGTTAAATAAAAATCAGCTAAATTAATCGAATAAAAAGCTGTCAGGGGATATTAAGCATAAAGATGCCACTTTTGGCTTAGGAAGCCCCTGAGCAGCAAAGCCCTAAGGCTAAGGGTGGACACTGGGAAAATGTTGTACGATGGGAGAGAAAACTCAAACTCGTAGTAGACCACGTCAGGCTGCACAGTGGGTTCCACACCTCCTGCCCACTGGCTCTACAACTGCTCCTGCAGAGCCAGCTCTCCACAGTCTGCGCCTCCTTCTGCCTCAGCCCACTTCACAGCTGATGTATGAGCACATGAAAATGCTGTTACACTAATTTGTGCAATATGATTGCAATTTCGCTACCTGGAGCTTCAGCATGTGTAGGCATGAAAAAAGGAGAAAAGCTTTAATGTTCTCCCTCACCAACTTTTCTTACATGCGGGCATCTAGTTTCTGAAATGCCGCATTTGAGCCTGTGACCACAGTTCTGCCAGAGGTAGAAGAGGACGTCGCTACTAAATCACAGCAAAACAAACCTCACTACGCCTCCGCTCCTTAATCCCGTTTGTCCATTCCAGATTCCCATTTTGAGTATTATTCTGTATTCCATACGTATGCCAAGACAATGTCTTAGCCAGCTGCAATCACAACTTTATGATACCACAAGGGATATAATTCTTTTAAAAGTAGTGGAACAAATGCAAATTAAACGTAATAGTGAAAACCTAAAACCACCAAGTACAAGAGATTGCCTCTGAGTCACACCTGGAAAATAACATAAAACCAGCTAGACTGTGCATCAACTCCCAATTCTGATCATTAGCGTTGATGCAAACACCTTATTTAGTTGCGGAATTTTTTGCCTAACATGTTTGAAACATACCTTTTTAAACATAAACCCCGTCTTCATAAAGAAGCATGTCCAAAGCAAAGTGAATTTAAAAAAAAGGAGAACTGAGATATGACTCTCTGGGATTTGTTTAAAAACAAGGAAGAAAAACGATTGGCAGCAAAAAACAGAGAGAAAGGGACCAGCGGGGCTGCTAAGCCCTGTACCTAGCAGTTCCACCACGAAGCCTTCCAGGGTTTCATGTATCCAACAAGATTTTAGCATAACTCTGTTTTTGTCTCCTTATCAGCACCGGCTGCTGTGGCACAGCAATTCTAAGCATCCACCTTCTTCTCTTCTGTTCTTGCCCATATTGTAGAGATGCCGGGAAGGATGAATGCTGTACTACAATCCATCTGATTACTACTGTTTTTATGAGCAGTCTTAAGAATCCTCGTGTACTTTAAAATCTTAACTCCCGGAGTTGTGTTATTATGGGACAATTTCAACTTCCATTATTAAAAGAAGTTGACCTTTAAAGAAAAAATCTGTAAAACGTGAACCTGAAAAGACTCAACATCAAAAGGCTAATGAAATGAACTCACTTGATACTTTTATAATTTTGTTACTTATATGCCATTCTCATCGTATTTGGGGTATCTGGTTAACGAGTGAGTTTTGATAGGATCAGCAAAAGTGCTGCCAGCAAGGAATAGGAGTGAGCAGAGATGAGGGGACAGCAAAGGAGGGCATACACAAGCATAAAAAGAAGCCTGACTGTGGACAGAGAGTGATGAGAAAAGAGGATCTCGTATCCGAAAGGACGATACAGCCTGACAGCTGACATGACTAAAACATATGAACTCATTATTTTTGAAAAATACTCCTCTTTTCTAATAATACATCTCAGAAATGACTTCTCCATTATAAGCATTCATTTGTTAAAAAAGAAAAAAGAACAGTTAGAAAAATATAAATCTTCTTTAAGGAATGCTTACCTATGTCTAAAATCTTTATTTCTTGGTGGGAGCAAGTAAAAAAGAACAGAAAAACATTATTAGAAAAACATTCAGAAAGGATGTTAAAAGATGAAAAGAAGGCAACATTTACATCTATCATTAGTGAAGTGGTGAATGATCGTCTTTTGTCCACTCATGTCGACTACATAGGTTAACTCTTAAAATCCACAGAATAATTACTTTGGGTAGATTAAATTCTCACAGTTTAGATAAGCATAGTTAAAGTATTATATGAGGGTAAAATTTTTTTACTTTAGCTTTAAATACTTTTTCAAATGCATTAAAATCTTTTGACTCAACTTTTTTTGTTCCTAAAAGCATTTGGAAACTCTAACTCACACAATGCCAGAAATCTATTCCATACTTTAGTTTGCAACAGTAATTCACAACTCCAAAAGTCCGAGATGAGAAAAAAAACATACCTTAGCTCCAGAACACTAGTTACATTTCCAGATGGGAATATCCGCCGAACATAGTTGAAATCCCCCACGTAAAGACTGCCGTCTATCCCACAAGCTAAGGCAACCGGAGCCAATAATTTATTACCATCAGCTTGACCGTTACAACTTGGACAGGAGATGCTGCGTCGTCTTCCGTTGCCCATAATACTACTAACAACTGGGGGTTGCTGAGATATAAAATGATTTTCACCATTTCCTTTGTAGAGGATTCCTGGCAGATAATACAAAAAGCACAAAACAAAAAATAGTTTATAAAAACTTGGAATGTATGTAGATAAAATGATGCGTAAGTTTTCTAAATATTCTTTTAGTTGATTAATATAATTTAATGGACTTTTGTTTCACCACCATATTTTTCTCTCTACAAGCAACAGAACTTTATTAAAACATTTATAGCTATATTTAAGTCACAGACACACTAAAATACACACAAAGCATTAAATTATCTTGTCCACAAGATGTAGTAGAAGCACTAAATATACTAGCATTTACAACCCAAACAAGTTTTCAGTCATTCTTATTTTTAAATGTTAGTAATCTTAGTAGTTATAATTCAGAATAAAAACTGTCATGTTGAAGGAAATGCAAGGTGTACTGAATGAAATCAAGGTCTGTGTTCCTAAATCCTTACAGTTTTGAAATTCCCCAGAAATGACTGAAATTCTAACTGTGCATATATTGTAAAAAAGAAAAAAATTATATTTGCAAATAGTATTCCTAACTAATTATGACTATGATGTCAAATGTAATCTAAAGTGGATCACTGCTGCAAATTGTAAATATTAATTAACGAGCTACTTCAAAAAGTTGGAGATTGCCTCAATTTTACATTATAAAAGACTCTTTACTCAGCTCACAATAAAAATGTACCTCTGGCAACAAAGTCTGCCTCAATACCATGTCTGCAGTTATAGGCAGTTATTAAAAATGTCAAACCAACAAAAAAAATGTGGTGCCAGGACAACCTGCCTCTTAAACTTAATTCTGCTTTGAGGCATGAAAGGAACAATAATTTTGTGAAGACAAAGCAATGTGCCAGCCATATTTTTCTTCCTTATAGCCTCCATAGGAAATATGAGAAGAAAAATGCATGCTTTATGTTAAATCTTCAGTCTTAGGGGAAAAAGTGTGAATTTACAGTGTATTAAAATGTTGCCAGGACCCTCATTATTACATCTCTCAATGAATCCATCGAGGTGTATTCTACAGATGGTCAACTATTATGGTTTTACTCATAAGTCACAATATGTCTTTCTGTGGTATAATCCATGTAAACCATGTCACTGTACTTCAGAGTGATACGTGTTTCATTGATTGTGTGCCCAGAGTTTCAGAGGCAGTTTGGGGCTGAGGGATACACTTCTCTTTTAAGATGCTTAGAAGAAATTTCAGATGTATTCCTCTTTCTCTCCCCACCCCCAAAATGCACTCTTTATACCTGAAAGATATGAGAAAAAATACTTTGTTTTCCTCTTTAAATGTTTTAGGTGTCTCCACTACTTTTTAATGTTATAAAATTTAGGAGATTATAAACGTAAAGTCATTATACATGATAGAATTGGGAAGAATGAAAATGGTTTATGGAAACCTAACGGTAAGTAACCTAAATCAAAAGATTTTTCATGAATTTTTCATGAATAGTTAAAGCCAGAACGCATTAACAGTGTACGAAATCCCCTCTCCTATGATTACATCATTTATGACAATCATGGCACCGTAATTTTGCCTGAAATAGCTGAGTTCTATAATTTTCATCAGAGGAATTCTACAAGTCAGCACAGCGCACTATTGCACCTGATTTATTCTGTCATTACCTTGAAAAATTGGTCCTTCACATTTCTCCTCTATTATCACAGACTAAAAGATGTACATTAGACTATTTACTGCAGTAGTTCGGGATGTCCGTACAAACACTGTCTGCACTCTCCTCTGAATAAATTTCTCCAGCTCATCCACCTTGTCATTACAACTCTCCACTTCGTTTATTCAATTAGACACACGTCACTTTGAAAAGTCATTACTTGTCAACTGTACTCTTGAACATAATTTAAAGCCACCATCAATTTACCTTGTGAACAGAATCGATCTTATATATATATTTATAATTATAGCTCTTTATATGTTTAGATGGATTATCTTACAATAATTTGCACAGGGTTTTTTTGACATTTTAAATTAGGTACAATGACACCTTTTCCCTTGATTTGGGTACTTTTTCCACCAGTCAGAAGCAGTGCTTTAGGTGGTCATTAGCATATCACAACAAAGAAGCTCATGTACTAGTGGGAGACCTCCAAGGGACACCAGGTACTGCAGAAGTGACGTTCTTCCCGCTGAATTACTCCTGGGCTCCTCCTTTGCATAAAAATCCAGTGCAACCAATTCCCACCTTGAGCCATGCGACTCTGCTTATTTCGCCTTTTCTTACATGCTTCCAGCCAAATTTTCCCAAATTTCCTCCTGTTCAGTTGAGTTGGGGTTTCCTTAGCATGGCACCCTCCAGACAGTTGCTGAATATCACACCGGAGAAATTTACCTTGGTGCCAAGGCACAGTTCTTATAAACATGTATTGCTCCTCATCTTTCCACTGAAATTAAGGAAGACTTGCTCACCAAGCAACTGGACTCTGTCCTGAAACAAGGGGCACAAGTGCCCTCACCGACTCAAGGCAGCATCATTCGTCACCTGCTATGTGCTGAGCCGACCACAGCATCGCGGGGAAGATTCACCTCAGGGAAGGATTTAAACGGGAGGAGAGTGTAAATGAGTGCTCATCCTCCAGAAGAGATGGTACCCATGTGCTAACTGCTCCCATGAGCATCTGTGCAGGGGCAGCGGATATCATGACACGAAAAGGCGTACCTCCTGTGTAAATGAGGGATTTAATATTGGGAGTGAAGAGCTTTCAGTATGGCAGGAATGTCTCTTACTGCTGTTTAATTTTCACTCATGGTGAAAACTGGAAGTGAAAACATTGTTCAAGATACTGTTAACATACAGTTAATCCCAATAACGATGCTGACATGTACAATTGCTTTAGAAACAGTGTCTCCTTAGCATCACTCAATTTTTAAAAACAATTTCAACCTTTTTGGGTTGGGTTTTTTTTGGTAAGCATATCTAACACAGGCTGACACTGTTAGATGAAATTATTAATGCCTATGTGTTTATACGATGAAGAAACATGACATACACTGTAAAGCTCAAAGCATTTACCATATGCAAAACATTCCATAATTTCCTTTTTTAAAATAACAAAGCACACATTTGAAAAGTTAGAATGAGATACCTAAAGTGCAGCGCAGTTGAGTATTAAAATTAGCAAGAAGAAAATTAACTCCATACCATTCTGAACATCCAACACATGATGTTTATCCAATGTCCAGCCACCCATGTTGGAGGCATCCAGTTCATAACCCTGCAAAATGGCAGTCCGCTTTTCCCAGAGAGTTAGATCCAAGCAAGACTCATATTCATAACCTACAGACACTGAAATAACAGTAAATTTCCTCATTAAGTATAGGATCTTGTTCAGAAGAAGAGTTTAAAGAATGTGATTTCCTTAAACTACATACATCCTTCTGCTCTCCCAGGCTACCTGAAAATCCCTATGGCTTCCTTAGATGTATTGAAAATACTAAACAGAATTCCAAAATCCTTTAAAAAGCAATCTGTGGTTATTAAAATAATTTTAGTTATTAAAAGTAAGTGGATTAGGACAGGTACAGGGAAAAGCCATTTTGTGAAGTACATCAGAATGCTATTGTGCAGACTAAATACCACAGTGTATTATTAGGCTGAGGGCTACTTCCTGGCAAAGAACTAGAAGTGAAAAACGACTGTGGTCTCTTTTTTCCTTTTGAAGAAAATTTTTTCTTATAATTCACAATTTAGATTGGTATTTTCTAATATATTTTAATATCCATTGTTATTTCTCATCTTATTGTGCTAAATATTTTCTACTTAATGGATACAAGTGTTGGAGATGTGCTTCCCTATTTTCAAGACAACAGTAAAAATGCAAAAAAAATCCATAACACACATACCAACAGCTTCAGATAATCCATAGACTCTCTGGTTGTATGCATCAGTTTTATCCCATATGAAAGTGTAAGCCAGATTTGGGGATGCAGGGAACCATTTTTGGAAAAGTCTTCCCACCACTGCCACCATAAGATGAACCTTCATTAAATTAAACGGTATAACAGATTGGGTCATAGTAATCTTCAGAACAGATTTATATCCTGCAGCCCTGGAGCTTAAGTATGATAACTTCAAATCGGTTCCTGGTATTGTCGTTTCTTCATGAAGTACCTATGCATTTGTAAGAAAAAAATACAGTATTTGAATGATTTTGAAATGAAACAGAACAATGCAGCTATCATAAAAGGAGGCCTGACATGATGCTACATGACAATCCATTAGCAAGTGTCATCTAAATCCAGCCTTCACTTAATAATGTAAAAAATACATAAAAAAAAACCAAGATTTCACTTTTTTTTCTGAAAAGTGAAGTCTAAATTCTTCGTTATACCACTTGGTTGATAGTTTCTGCTGAAGGATTTCTATTTTCATTGGGGGAAAGGAAGCATGCAGGAGAGAGAAAACATTCCCAACTGCTTTTTCCAAAAGAGGCAAAAAAGCATCTTTCATCTAAGTGAAAATAGCCCCTTCTTATGCTGCCACCCATGTCCCAACTATGGAAACGAAATAAGGGCAGCAGAGCCTCTAAGCACCGCAAAGCTTCAGATTTGGGTTGGGATGTCTAATTGCTCCTGTAGGAGCAGGAAGGACTTTCAGGTGGTTTATTATTTGTATTACCTGTGGATTGTAAATACTTTGAACTTGAGCATTCTTCCATTTATTTCGAAGACAGATAAGCAGGATGCCTCAGGGAAAAGCTTTTCCATATTTCCTGATCAATATTCACTACTCAGACATCAGCTCACCACTTTCTCATTTCAGAGAGGTGCAATGATTCAATTTTATTTTCTAAAGGTTCCTCCCCCCCTCTACCTTGTCTTTTCCTCTGAGCTGAGGAGCTTTTCTGGGTGATGGATGCATGTGAAAGGTTTCTGCGTAACGTGGATGAAGACAGCCTATTCTGTCCTATACCTCAGTCAGGACATAAACACTGAGAACCAGCACTTCAGGTGAACAGCTACCAAGTATCCCAGCTTATCAGAAAAAAAAGAAAAAAGAAGAAAGTATCTAGACACATTTATAAAGATAATGTTTCTCTGGTGGGAAGAGAGGGTAAAGGACGCTGAAGCACAAGCCCAGAGCCTGGGTGGTGTCAAAGGAGCACTCTTGGGGAAGTAAATTTGGAAAGCTTCATTTTACTTTCCTGTCTCCTAGTCCTAAAGTCTGAAGACCAAACACTAATTAGTATTAGTGGAAAGCAGACTTCAGGGAGAGCACTACCACAAATATTAGGCTTGAGACTTCAGTGGGATCAAAACCTGGCTACTAAATAAATGCTAAGTTAGCTCTCTATGCTAGAGAAATCCTTGGACACTGCTTTTAAACAACTGACTGTCTATGTTAAATAGGGTCAAATAATGTGGTTTATGCTCTTGAGGAAGGCAACAGGTGCTACACCATCCTCTATGTTAGCACCTTTGCTGGGATATAAAGAAAGATTTATATGGTATTAATTATATCTATCTCCTTCCCAGTAACAGTAATGAAAAATCAGAAATAGTATTTTGACTTATCGTCTGGCACGTATGGTTATTTACATCTGATATATGTAGGCATGCAACTCTTCTTCTCCAGTAAGATTATAATAGAGCTGTAGGAAGTAAAGGAGGAATTGGAAGATGCTAGACAAATTAAATTCAGATTTAAAAATTCTCAACTCTTAATCTTCGAATGTTTCTTTTTTCCGCACCAAGAACCTGCCATCATTGAGAAGAAATGATAAGCAGTACCATCACTTGGAAGGAGGTGAGAGTGGCATCATTTCTGTTTGTAAGTGTCGTGGTTTAAGCCGGCAGGCAGCTAAATAGCCATTTGCTCACTCCCCCCGCACAGTGGGATGGGG